AACATGCTCGCCCTTCAGCCGTGGAAGCGTTATAATGTGACGCTCAAGAGTAGTCCAAAAGTTGGCGGTGGGTGGTGATGACTAACTGCCTTCCCTCTAGTCTTACACTGCTAAATTAGGGACGGCTAGCGCAGATAGCCCTCGTGAAGCTTTGCGCGAAATTCAGAGCCCCCCAGTGGTCCAGTGGTATGTCTGCGGACTTACAAGGCTAGAATCCGGGTTTCGATACCCGTTGTGGGCAGAGCACAGATAGCACATTGTGTAGCTTTGGGCTTAATTACAAAAAAACAAACGAAATTCAGAATAAACAAACAACAGCAAGTACAACGCGTTAAGAAGCGCTTAGCTCAATAAAATGTGCGTTTTACTATACTCCGAAATATATTTTGAAAAACGAGAGACAGTCTGATGGCTCAGCAGTAAGTTTGAAGGTCATAACGGTCAAATTCAAGCCTTGATTCTAATGGTGCAATTTTGACTTCAAAAGTGGGGGGGGGGCGGTTTCTATATCTGTGGTGCATGAAGGTGGTTTATAAAAAAGAAAATAAAAAAACATTCTACCCTTGAAAAAGTGCAAGGAACATGAAAATTGCCTTATGTTTTATCCTTGTGGCGGGCAAAGCATTGTGTAGCTTTGTGTTTAAAAACAAATAAATAAATAAAACGAACAAAATGTATTTTAGCTTTTTGAAACTCAAGAATTTTAAGTCGTAAAAATTGAACTCATAAAGCAACAGAAAAATAAAATTTGTTATGCCCTACATTACGTATATAAATATTGGCAAACTTTATTTTCCTTCTCACATAAACGTACTTGTGACAAGCATGCCATTGCCAGGATCGTTTCGCTAAAAATGGCAGGAAGTCGGCTGTCCCAATATTTCCTATCCTAGCGGTGAATCTTAGCAATTTCCTCGTCTCAAATATGTTAGCTGAAATTTTTGAGAAAAAAGCAAATGAAAACACACAATTGAAGTTTTTTAGCATAAGAACAGATAATAAAGATAGAGTTCCAGTTGAAATTTATCTATGTGTTGTTTTTTTGTCAAATGCGCGATATCTTTGTCCCATTAGGCTCACGTTATTATGTGTTACAGGTTTCATCAATAGTAAATATGGCTGTCATTATTATATAGTTGTTTCTACTGCTGTCTTTAGAAAATTATACTTATGTGCAACATTTTTATCTTATGTTTCGATGAATTATCATAAAACATTTAAGATTCTCTTATGATATATTAAAGTTAATGTTAGAAAATGAGGAATAATTTATACCAATTACTAGAAAGAGTCATATATCATATCTTACATTTGCAATTTCTTTTATTGGCACCCTTTTAAAGCAGGTTTACAAACAGATAATCTGTAACAGCTATTGGATCATAAACCTCAAAACTATGGAGTTTCATCGATTTTGGCTATAGCATGTTTTGTAATTAACATATATCCAACTTTTAGTGAGAGAAAGAGAGTATAGTATGGTATTATAAAGTAAAGACCTAAAAGTTGGGATAAAAAATAAATAGTTTTTCCTCATTCCTCCTAATCTTCCATTTCGGATTTACAATCAGATACTTCTGATTTTAATTACAAATTTTAGGCAATTTGGTTTAGATGTTTCGACTGCTTTCAGCGTTTAATTAGATAACACTTTTAAAGTATCAAACTGAATATATTGACAGCGTTTCATAGTATTTTTTGTGGCAGGTGAGCGATGGAAGAGAGCAGCGAAGGAAGTGGAGCGGTTTTGTGACGTTCTCAAAGGAGTTGCGTTAATGTTTTGATATATTGACTGGACTGATTATTACGTACCATTTTTCATGTATTCTGTTTATTTCTGGTTGACTAGCTACTACCTGTGTAATGAGTTTGGATGCACTGTTGCCTACCTTCGAACTGTTCCACATCTCATAACAATCTTAGCTCGTCTATGTCGATCTTGCCTTCTATGTCTTCTAAAATAAGCTGACTATCTGCCGCATTTATTCTTCATCCCTGCTTCAAATACATTTTTCTACAACTCCTTCTTATGCAGAAGTTTCATGTTCTGCTTCCATTCTTTCTAAACACATTATTTTACCTTCGAGCTGTGATCGACATACTTCACAAAATTGTGTCGGCCTTTCTATTTTATTCCTCGACAAATTTCGTTTGAAAGTTGGAGCATAACCTGTTCTTCCGACATTTCTTATGACAAATCAAGATTTCAAACACACACATCTCACTAAAGTTTTGCAAAAATCTCCAAATACTGCCTCGCGATAAACAAATAATACTAACTCATAATGGTACGATGGTTAAATATCCTAGTTTCGAACTCTGTGATGTCATATGCAAAAAAAATAGGATTCACCACACTTGGAGTAATATGAAAAATTCAAAAAGATTAACCAATTCTCTAAAACAACAGCCTATCCTTCATAGAGCTTTTCATCTCTCACGTGTTACTCGTGGAGCTAGTCCTTCTATCACTGAGAATGAAATGACTTATAAACTTGCTACCGATAATATTTATATTCATCGCACGATTCGAATTCAGAATTTCACATGTCCTTTTTTTTTTAATCGTGTTTTGTCAAAGAGCTGTGATGTCATTCACTACCTGCTAGTTTATGGTGCATATATTTACAAACAACGTGAGTAGGTCGACGTATTCTCAAACATCTCAGACTTAACCAATTCGTTATAGAAAGTGACTTTCTTATAACCTTCATTCTACTCTTCAATGTCCCAATAAATCAGAATGTCCCCAGTGCAGAGGTCGGCATTTTTCCGTCAATTTAACCAACTGAATTATATTTCTATTTACAATACTTGTTTTCCGGGCCATTCTACAAATTGTTATAAATGTGAAGGTTAGTCTGCACCAACACCCGATGATCCAACCTCGTTTTCTCCTCTTCGAACAAGGGAATACATTATTCTTCTGACTAATCCAATTACTACACCTCCTACTATATGGAATGTTTTCGTTTTGTTATTCTTAACTTGTAAAATATTTACCCATTTCATCGGCCTCTTGTTTTCTGAAAAACCTGCCGTCAAATCTATCTATAATATTAATCTGTACGCAACTTAACACTCACCTTTACTTTCAAAATTTTCAAGGAACAGACTGTGAAATGTCTTTTTCTCAAATTATATCACTTTTAGCCATATTGCCTTTTTTTAGAACATGTTTTATCTACCGAATATGTTGACTGCATCCTGTTGAATGATACGTTATCCAAACTTGCGAAGTTTGTAAGGATTTCAAATTACAGCTTACATCGATATTTTATTATCAAGCTGGTATCACAAGGGGTGGTGTGGGTATCTTATGTAAAACGTTTATTCCTGCTTGAATACACAGTCTATTTCAAGCGAGATTACCTGAAAACCTTAACTCTAGTAACAATCTATGTTCGTTCGGACTGTCTCCTGCCCTTTGATTTCCTTTTCTACTTAAATCGATATTTCTGAAGTTATATTATCCTTCTCATATCAATTATCACAGCAGATCTGTTTCTGAGTTAAGTCACTTTGATTCAACTCTCAACAATATTTCTGGTTTTTTGAACTTACCATCTCAAACGCATCAGAATCAAATACTACCATCATAATGTTGTGATGGCCTCTGCAACCTTAGTGCCATTACTTATTGTTCATATTCTTCACCTCTACGAATAGATCTTCAAATTTAGATGAAAAAATGAGATAATTTCTTATTATAATCCCGTAATGAGTTATCAATGTAAGTTCGATAAAAAAAGCAATCTGCTTTGGAACAGATAAACACCTATGCAAACAATCTTCAGTCGGTTCTTTCGCCAGCTAGTTTCCTACATTTCCTTTCGCATCTACCAACTATCCCAAGCCTCCATATTTTAAAATCTTTGTTTCGAGAATTGGAGAAGTGCGTGTAATCAACTTTGGAAAGTTCACAGTGCCTCTTACTTTTGGCGTAGTTTTTGTCTCATGACTTAACATTCACAAACTGTAAAATACCCAATTTTAGAGAGTGACTGAAAAGCAAATATTTTTGTTACATTTCATCAGAGAGCTTTTTGAGTCCGAGACCATATACCCAGTAATGTTGAAACCAGTTTTCTTTACCCCATTCCATTTGACCTGTCTCCGCACTTTCATCACGAACTGAGAATTAATTATATGAATATCTCTATAACAGTATCTGATAGTTCAACTAGCAATTGGGCATAAGTTTAATAACGCTCCAGGGTAAAATGGCACCACATATCTTCGTCTACAACAGGCACCAAAAGTGTCTTTCTTTTACTGGCTTTACTTTACAATGTGATCACTAATGTCTTGAAAATTTTCTATTATTTTACTGTTATTAAAGGCTATTAATGAGACTACTGTTGTAAGCTGTTACCGTCCAGTTAGCCTCACCAGTTTTTGTTGTTGTTTTTTCAGCAAGACCATTGAGCACATTCTTGTCACACAACTTCATCGTTATATTTTCGAACATCGACTTTTACCTTTCAACCAGACTATTCAACCATGCACGACTATTTACCCAGGCTTTCACTTCAGGTATCCTGTATAATCGTTTTTGATTTTGAAAAATATTTTGATTCAGTCGGGCACAAAGGTCTGTTCTATAAACTTTGGAAAATGCTCCTTTCACTTTCTTAAGCCAGATTTATCAATTCCTTTCTTCAGGAACGATAAAACGTTTGTTCTGTAGAAGGCTTCCTTTCTAGCCTGTTTGATATCCTAGCAGGTGTTTAACAAAGATCAGTACTCTTACCAATTTTTTACACAATGTATGTAGCAGGTGTGTGGCGACTGCTAGATATTTATGTGTTCCAATATTCTCATGAAACTTGCTTTGTTGTATCTATGATCACTATAAACAAGTCTCTACAACTCGCCATTAATCAGTTTCTTACATGGTGTTGTCAATGACGTCTAACTTTCAATGATACCAAAACCAAAGCAATCATATTAGTTCCACTCGAAAGAAATTTCGACCATGTCGTAACTCTGAACTTTTTAATATTCATATCTACGACATTGCCACTGATCTTTTTTTTTCTACTTTTAAGTAACTTGGTGATAATTTTAAAACACAATTAATTCGGAAAGTTCATTTATCTGTACTCAATCACAAAGTTTCACTACCTGTACTTCTATCTATCAATCACTGCCCAATTTCTATAATTCATCTCTGAACCAGTATATTACACACATCTCCCTTATATTAGAAGTTCGTTCTCTTAGTCAAAGTGAGGACGTAGCCCTCTTCTGGCTCACCACTTCATTTGAGGTACTGAAATGAAATATCATTAAAAAAACAAAGAGTCATTTATGCCACATCGTCCAGACCAACTGACGAGTTCTGATATTTAAACTGCTATCTTTACATGCCCTTGAATTTGAATCTGAAAAGCAATATATGAGAAATGTGGAAAACACATCTTCAGTTTACGAATTTTAATTTAGGCCTACTGGTTTCTAATGCTTCGCCAACTTTCGTCGTTTAAACCGTAACTTGTAAAGTATTATCTGCACGATTATTTGCTACTGAAGAAGGTTGAGATCATGACCACAACTCGGAACGTTGGTGATACATTTCCCGTACTGAGTTTGCATTATAAGTCTACCAGTTCTTTTAATTATTTTAGTGATACAAACGAAATATATTTTCAATGCTATTACAGCGGTTACCTAATTTCAGGGAATTCCTTTTGCATTTTTTCCTGCAGTTGCTATAACTCATTATCAATTATCATTTTTTGTTCTCCTTGCACAATATTTATTGTACTTTTATACACTAATTTTAATCTGAGAAGAGTATGTCATGAACCTGCCACACACAATGAATGGTAATAGGACTCGGGATATTTTGGGGTTTAATATATAGGTACAATACTTTTACCGAGTTCATGTTGTAATTCTGATGTTTTTTTCACATGCCTTTGGTAAATACTGGTGCAATGGGATATTCCCAACGTATTTTGAATGCTATTACTGTAGTTATCTTCCTACAAGGGTATATCTTTTTTTCAATTTCTGCCTTACTTTGACTATTATTTTTGTACGAAATCTACTCACAAGATTTGCTATTTTATATTTCAATTCATTGTTAATCTGGCATAAGTACAGCATTTTAACCTTAACTAGCTAATAAAAACTTATTGTTTCTAGAATGCAATGCTTTCAGCTAATTTATTGGAAATGTTTCCAGATTGATGTCATATAATGCTTAGTAGTATATTGTGACTATCTATTGGTAAACACCTTACAAAATGAAGAATTATCTTCTGTCACAGCAACACAACTACCTTTCTCTGAGTGGTCTTACCATCTCTATTCTCTTTCAGTAACCGATAAGCTGAGCTAGCAACACAATTTTCCTCCATGGCGCATTGAAGTTGAAACAGCTGTTTTTTATCCAAATAAGCAGACCTTTCAATCTCTTTTTCATCTGGAATGAGGTCAGACATGGCTGAAAAAACAAGTATTAAGCAATCAGAGCTAATATGTCAAGCTTATGTTTTAGAAAGGAGTTTCTCTGAACTTGAAACTAACTAGCCATGTTTTCTCATAAGTAAGAATAGCACACACAGCAATTATGTCAGATGAACAATACCCAGTACTACCTAAGACATCAGGAAACAATTTTCTTAAAAAATTAAAACTTAAATTATACCAAGTAACAGTCCAAAAACGTTTAGAAGAAACACAGAACAATGTTATGTGTTTTTAATCCTTTTTTGTCCAATATTTTTCCAGGCTCATCTTTTTCTTCATCTTACAGTAATAGTTAACAGTAGTCTCGTGTCCAGACCGATAATATTTACTTCTGATAAGTATTAATTGCCCAACGATTTAGGAAACAAATAAACTGCAACTACAGCTGGCAAAAGTATCTATAATAATGTTTGTAGGCCTGGCATGGCCTGGGGATTAGGACGCTCGTCTCGCAATCTGCACAGATATCCAGATTTGACAAACTGAACTTGATCGATTTACATACAATAAATATTCTATTTCAACACACTTGTTTGAAAAGATTAACTGTTAATTTAAATTAAATTATTGGAAAGTATGTCGAATGATATATTTTTACGCGCTAATACGTTTTTTAAACCAGTTAGTTTCTTTTTAAATATTTACTAAAATCATATTTCATTTTTTGAGACATTAAATTGAACGGAAAACAAACTTCTAGATTCCATGAAGAAACTTCTGTATTAGGAAAGTTAACTTTCATTTATTGCTCATTTTTCGTAAAACGGTATTGGAAATATTTGTTATTATAAAGTGAATGAATAATTAGAAGATTATTTCTGTTGCATATCTCAGGTAAATCTTACCTTTTACACAGATGACGCCAGCAATGTTTCTATCTCTTCCAGGACAATCGACGTTCCCAACACTGTCATATTGACAATATGCAAGAGTCTTTTCGTTTCCCGTACACTTTACTCCACTCAAGATCATTTTGTGTTGCTGACCCCCAAAAATCGAATTCTAGAAGGTAAGAATAGTTTATATATTCCTTTACCTGAACTATTTCTCCTGCGTGTGTAATTTGCATGAAATAAAGCAACTTAAGATTTTTGCAGTGTTATAGCCTATAAAAGAAAGAGGAGATGGTAACACTGAACAAACAGATTTGGAGTGAAAATGAACCCTCTCCAAAGGAAATGGTAACACTGAACAAATAGATTGGGAGTGAGAATGAACCCTCTCCAAATGAAATGGTAACACTGAACAAACAGATTGGAGGTGAGAATAAATTATTTCAAGCAGAAAATATAACACTGAACGAATGTGAGCTAGAATGTAAAACTATCACAAATAAACAAATCCTAAGTTATGGGCCTCGTACTTCTAAAGACTTGTATTCTATCAATTTTGTGTATACCATTGGCCAAGATACAACCACGTTTTCTGTAGACCCTGTGTATGACTACAACATTTTTCTCCTCTCCACCGTAGAACAAACTATCGTTGGTTGTTATTAATTAGTTCGAATTTGAAAATTAGTAAATAACACAGACAAAGTTTGACTTTATACAATGAAAACATTTTTGACGCAACCAATCCACGGTTCTCACTAAAACCTCTCTACATATTTCAACAGCTTCAACGCAGTTTCCAACACTGTCATATTGACAATATGCAAGAGTCGTTTTGTTTCCCGTACACTTTACACCACTCAAGACCCTTTTGTGTTACTGACCCCTAAGGTAGGAATCTTAGAATGTAAGAATAGTTTGAATATTACTTTGTATATATCGTTGTTTTGAGTGATATATATATATATATATATATATACATATAGTAGAGCTAACTTTGAGCTTTTTATGCATTTACCTGAAGGGCTTCTTGTGCATACCCTAGTCCCAGTTGTTTGCAAATAACATTCGCTTCTAGAATTTCCCAACCATCGCCACACACTGTTCCCCATCCGATATCTGGAACGTACACCTCCACTCGTCCTTCAGATAGCGAGAGCCCTCCAGCGAGCCGGATAGAAAAATTGTTTGGGTCAAGCTGCAAAAGAAACATTACATATTTCGGCACCTCGGGTAATAAATAAAAGTGAAAATAGACGATAGCTTATACTTCGCTCTTAAGCCAACAGTCTCTAAAATTTAGAAAAAAGTACAATTCAAATTTAATGTCTTAATATTTTATATTCAGGAGAGTACACTAGGAACTACAGGATCTTCTCAGCAATTTCTGCACAGTCCAAGTTCGAACAGTTTACCTTCCTGCTTTTAATACACGAATAGATGGGTGAATGTTTATCAGTGCATTTTAATATGGGTAATTTAAAACGTTACCAAAAATTTAAAGGGTGATGTCCCAACAATGAAACAGGGACGGATACAAGAACATTTATTGTCAAGCTGCTGATTGTTATACTAATTGTTTAAATACAATCTAGGGTCAATAACTACTGATCAGAAATTGTCATCATTGCAAACTGGAAACATTAATAAATTGGAAATGTTAGAAAATGTTTTAAATACCTCAAATGCATAGACAAAGAAGCGAATAAACTGTTTCGTAAATACGGCAGCTAAATATTGTGCAATGAAACATTTATGTTAACGATTTTTATTTTTGCGCACTTATTTACTTTGATATTTACTTATTTGTAGGCAACGAGGAAATACAACTGTTCCTAATGGAGTTGAAGACGACATATGTTGGAATAAAATTAAAATTTTACTATATGCTTCGATACGTTTCCTTTTAACACCTTCTAGTCCATATCTGTGTTATATAAGTCAAATTCAACGTAGTTACCTTTCGTGGGAAGTATTTGGTTGGTGCTTGGTTGTAGAAATAATTTGCCGAAGACTCAGCAGATGAGAGGTGTCCATCCTGGCAGATGACGCCAGCGGCCTCTTTTCCAATACAATCTGTTATTCCCCAACCGTCAAATGGACATTTCTCTATACTCATTTCATTCCCATTGCAGAATATGTTGTCCATCCATATTGTACCTGGAATGGGTGGAAACAGTTAAATAAGTCAAATACATTTCACTTCTCTAACGAAAAATAGTTAGCATTTTTATGTTTTATATGCCTTAACCAAGTTCTTTAAAGTTAGTAATAATAGCTTGAAATAAGTAAGAAATAATTAAAACAGTTCCTTCTATCAGGCCAAACAAAAAGGAACATTTTAGCAATTAATATAAACGTTCCTAAACATTTGTAAAAACTTGTAAATAAAGGTTTAAATATATAACGTAGTTGAATTATAATAAAACATTCATCGCGATAAGAAATACATAAATATATCCACTTACTTAACACTTTTGTACAGCCATCCATTTATTTGTATATATTGAACCGACCAATCATGTAATGTGTTAAATTGTTGTTTGAATCCAATAAACGCAGAGATGTAATCATATCTTATTATATGCGAAACATATAAGAAGAAGGATTTTTCCGAGTTTGAAAGAGGCATGGTGTAAAGGGAACGTCTGGCATAAGGGTGTCGTCGTCAAATACTATTTTTTAACCTGTTGTCAATATCGGAACTAGGGACCCCAAATATTTTCTATATATTTCCTAATATTTGTCCTTATATAACTGAACTAAGATTTAAAGGGCATCATTATAAATCTGTGGACCAGGGCTACAGAAAATCGTGTGCCAAACCTATTGGTTGTTTAAGGGCTACAGAAAATCGTGTGCCAAACCTATTGGTTGTTTAAAGACATCTGTTATCAAGGTTTACCAACGTTGACCATGACTGAAAGCTGCTGGTGCTAAATGAGGGAAAAAGTGCTTCGATGGGATTCGTTGTAAAATGAACAGGCGACAAAATATGTCCCAATTGCCCAGATCCTTTATGTAGAATCTCTCTAACCGCAACATGTGAAGAACGTCACAATAAAATGGCTTATGACAATCAACAACCAGTTTTAAAGCTGCTTATGTAAAATACCAACAGAAAGCACGACTTCAGCAATGTTTAGATTGCAAAGTGTGGATATAAATCATTAGAAGTATGTGAGTGATATAATGAAAGGTGTTTACTCTTTTGGCTGAAGGTAAAAACTCTTAATTATGCTTGTTTTGTTCCGACATACAGTAATATGGGATATGTTCGTTAGCAATAATTAAACCGTTTCATTCTCTTAGAAAAATGAAGTTATATACATTCACAGTGTGCTTGAATGTTGCTGCTAAACAGGTCCACCCCGAAAGCTGTATTTCTATCATGATGAATTAAGACTCTTTTAAAACAATTTTACAACAATCTACTGTATACTTGCAAGGTTCAAAAAGCACGATAGTAATTTCAACCATCTTCCTCGGTCAGCACAATCACTGTATCTCTATCTCGTCAACCACAAATTTGAACATTGTATTCAAATTCTAATTGTCTTCTGATAACTCTGGATGAATAAGCAGTAAATTTGGTTAATTAACCAACAGGTAGTTAGAGCCCGCAGATAAGAGAATGATCGTGGATCTGGTTGTTAAGAAACCAGTTGTGCAACAGAAAAACATAAGTATTAATCGAAATTAACTTGTAAATTGAACTCAATAAAATAAAAGTATATCTGAAAAATGCATGTTGGTTGGCTAGCTTTACACCCAGAGAACATATATTACGCAATGGGTTTTTACTAGATAAATTAGTACAAGGTTATTTATTTGTAGTTAAGCACAAAGCTACACAATGAGCTATCTGTGCTGCGCTCACCGCAAGTATCGAAACCCAGTTACTAGCGTTATAAGTGCGCAGAAGTACTGCTATGCCATTCGAGGGCACCAGGACAAGAAGTGAAACGAAAAACAAGTACAGACTCTGCCAGCAAAACACCAGGTTCATAGTTTAACCAATCAACACAGGAGATCTGGCAAATACTTTCTGTATGCTGTAGCTATTGTACTAAAAGATGAATATCACTCTACAAAATGGCTACTAAATTTACACACCCAGAAAAACGTTTCAACCTCTCTATAACAGGGGTTATATGGTCCCACGACGAAAACAAAAACGTTGCATAGTGTAAAACATTTAATTACATACTACTTATTAAAAAGTAAGTTTATGCAGGTAAGCGTATTCCGTCTAACTAAGCTGCAGTCATCCCTCGTTAGATGTAGCTCTCCGTCAGACCATTCAAGTATTTCTTATTCTTAGCATACCGTGTCCATCTCATTTCTACTTCCGCCACTATATCGTCCCTCTATCTTCTCTTTTGCCTTCCATTAGATATTTTCCCTGTCCTAGGTTGCTATTCTATTGTTCTTAATGTCCACCTATTGTCATAATACCTTGCTACATGCCCAGCCCATTTCTAATTAGTTCTTAGCATGAACTTTACTGTATCTATTATATTTGTTTGTTTTTTCTTGTTCTGTCGTTTCCCCATCTGTCTTGTAGTGTTATATGAAGTATTTTTCTTTCCATAGCTCTTTTTGTGGTTTATATGTTTTTCCTTATCTGTTTTGTTAGTGCCCATGTTTGGCAGCCATATATTAAGGTTGGTAGTATACACTCATCCATGAGTTGTTTTTTATTTTGTTTTTTTCAAAGTAATGGGGATATCTTGATCCTCTAGAATTTCTTTATACATTCCAAAATATTGTCATGTTACTTTTATTCTTACCCTAATTTCTTCCCTTCTTGTGTTTTCTATTTTGAGGGTTTGTCCTAAATATTTGTACTCTGACTCTATTTCTCCATTCTCAATTCTGATGGTATCTGTGTCATGATAGTTGGTTATATATTTGGTGTTTACCTTATGTATTTTAACACTGCTTTCTTGCTACTGGCATTCAAACTGTTTAATAGAGCTTCCATCTTTTTTTGTTGAATTTGTAAAGAGAGCTACATCATCTGCAAACCTTAGATCTGTTATTGTCTCACCATCTGTTTTTATACCTTCATTCTATACCTTAGTTTGTTTAAATACTTCTTGCAAAGTTGCTGTAAACAGCTTCGAAGATACTGGATCACCCTGTTTCACCCCTCTCTCTATCTTTATCACTGATGATACCTCTTTATTAAGATGTATATTTGCTTTTGAATCTGTGTATATATCTCTTAAGATTTCGATGTATGTTAGATTGATGATTATTGTAGCTAAAGCATTTAATATTGCGCTGTGTTCTACAGAGTCAAACGCTTTTCGTAATCTATAAATTTACGAATATTAATAGAGGAGTTGTAAACAGTAAGATGTGCTCAATAAAAGATAAAGAAGGAATCTCCACACATGATAGAACAGAAATAGTTGAGATATGTGCAGATACTTACATAGATTTATATACATCAACTATTAAAGATGAAACGGGAACAGAAATGAGTTTTTAGAACAACAAAGTAGATAAAACAGAAGTACTTAAAATTTCAGTCTCGGAAGTGGAGAATGCATTAACTGAGATGAAGAGTAGGAAAGCTCCAGGAAACGATATGATCACCAGTGATAACTTGAAAGCAGGTGAAACTGAAACATTAAAGTAGATAACAAAATTGTTTAACAAAATATTGGAGTCATAAATGTTACCAAAGAAATGTAAAGAGGCCAAGATCATCATTTTATACAAGAAGGGAGACTATCAAGATATAAAAATTACCACCCCATAAGCCTATTATCTCATTTATATTAGCTATTCACAAGACTACTACAAAACAGATTGGAAAGAATTTTGGACGAACCCCAACCAAGAGAACAAGTAGACTTTAGGAAAAATTTCTCAACAACAGATGATTTACATGCAGCTAATCAAATAATAGAAAAATAAAATGAACACAACTTACCTTTATGTGTGGGGGTCCTCTACCAGCTTTTAAAATCTTTTTTAATCTTTTCTTTCCTTCTTTTTCTTGCTCTGTTTTTCTTTTGTTCCTTACTATCTTAGTTAAATCGGTATATTCGACTTTTCCTCTCTATTTATCTCAATTTCTTTCTCCTGCCATCCATTTTCTTTATAAGCTCATACTCTTCATCTTTATTTAAAGTTTTTGAAAACCTGTTGATTTTTTCTTATTCTTCGATTAAAATCTCATTTAGTTGTTCACAAAAGTTATTCAGATCTTGGTCTTCCTCCAACACTCCAAATCAGTTTCTTAGGTTTAACTCAAAATCTGTTTTATTTCCATTTAAATGATTAATATTGATCCTGAGAGCTTTCTTCTGTCGTTTGTTTTAAGTCTTGCCAGTCTGTTATCTATCTTAATTTTTGTTCTCACCATTCTGTGATCACTTCCTACGTCTGCCTTGGTTATGACTTCACGTAGGTAAGCCTAGTGTGCTACAACTGAACAAGATAACTTTCAGCATCTTGTAAAGTTAACGTCCAACCCAGTATAGGCAATTATCGCGGCGAAAGGTAGTATAATCTGATATTAGGTAAAAGTCATAATATTATAGTGTCCAGTCAGTGTATCTTGTCAAACACAGCAGTCGAATCGATGTCGAATCCTAAAGTATGGTTTTAGTGATACTTTACGTTATGTCATACCTACCTACCTTATAAAATACAAATACTTCTCTTGCATTTTACTGAACATATACCCTGCTTTGTGCTGGTACTTATTAAGTATGTAACAAGTCTAGTAAATTAAAGTGTGTCCCTTACCTTTTAGTTTTACAACTACAATTCTCTAATTGGCACTACATTTTTATATTCATATGGTTTATTATCGAAATGATTACAACAAGACAACAGATAGAGTTAGGATTGTGGAATCTCGTAAACGATAGGCTTACATAGAATTCTACTAACTCTACACTATATAATGTTTCAAAGATTCCACGAGATGGCGCTACAGTAAACATATCCGTGTTTTCGATTGATTGTTAGAAAATAAGCAAAAAAGCTACAAACTGAGCTATCTGTGCTGTGCCCACCATGGATATCGAAACCCGGATTCTAGCGTTGTAAGTCCGCAGACATACCGCTGTGCCAGTAGGGGCACTGTGTTTTCGAATTGTACTGTAACAAATGATATATAAAAATAACTATTACCA